AATCTGTCCTTTCTGATCAAGGAAGGCATAGTCAGAGATGAAGGGAGTGAATGTGGTTGTCAGGGTGACATCCCTGAGGACATGGGGGCCAGGAGGAAATTCGTAAGAGCCCCATGGGGAAAGGTGCCCTGATGGGGGACCTGCTTCAGGGGTACATCTGATTTGGTGTGGCCGAATGCCAGAGCTGCCGTGTGGCTAGAGAACGGAATCTAAGGTGTACTGTTTGACTTGTATTTCTCTTGGGCCACAGGAAAAGCAGAAGTTTCTGGGACAAAATTATTATAAAGAAGGACCTGAAGGAAATGATATTCGAAAGACAAACGTTGCTCAGATCCGGATGGCATTCCGATATGAGACCTTATGCAATGAGCTCAGCTTCCTGTCTGATGCCATGAAATCAGAACAGATCACAGCCCTGACCAAGTAGGTCGAGCACTGGACATGCATTTTAACTTTCTGGTTTAATTTCACGCCTGCTGTGATTAACGGTGGTCAAGATACCATACTAGGACTTTCCTCCCGGGAGAGGATGCCTCTGAAGAACCTTCAAACCTAGTGATTTTGGTTGTACCGTCACTTTAAGACCCGACATGTCCACTTCTGTTAGTATTTCTGAGTAATAGGTGGTGACTGCTCCTTGGGGATCTGGGAGATAGACAGTTGTCTGTACTCATTCCTAATTTTCCAAATATTTCTCTTGAAACCGCTAGTGCTTGCATTGTTAGGGCCAGGATCTTCCACGGATCAAGTGGCTACTGACATGGGGTCTGTGTGGTTTTCTGCCATAGTCCGCTGTAGGCCGTACAGTCTTTGTGGTAGTTGTTCATTTCGGCCTCTTGCTGCCTTAAACAAAATCAATTTCAAAGCTCCCTGTCATAAGGAGCTACTCTGAGAGAATTAAAATAGATAACTTCTGCTCTGGCCGGTGTGCTCAGTGGAGAGAGTGTCGGCCCCTGAACTGAAGGGTTGTGGGTTCGATTCCGGTCAAGGGCATGTACCTGGGTTGCAGGTTCCTTGCCCCAGTTGAGTGTGCAGGAGGCAACCAATTGATGTGGCTCTCTCACATCAATGTTTCTCTCTCTCTCCTCCCCCCTTTTCTACTCTCTCTAAAATCAATGGAAAAAAAATATCCTCGTGAGGATTAACAAAACAACAAAAACCTTTTTTTGCATTTTTGATGAATTTCTTAAAACTGTTTTATTTAGCCCTCCTCCCTCCTTTCTACTTAGGAAGCCAAATGTGCACATTGAAACAGTCCCTCCTATTCTGTGTCTTGGTTTCCTCATCTGAAAAGTGAGGGTTTGGATTAGATGAGAGGTTTTCAAATGGAGGTCTTGAATCCCCCTCCCAATTTCCTGGTGGGAGAGGGCAGGGGAGTGAGGTTCTGGGTGTTACCTTTGCTTCTTCAATGGGACTTCTAAATATTTTTATTTGAAGTACTTTGAAAAGCACCAGACTAGATCATCTCTGTTCCCTTTTGGCTCTAATATTCTATGAATGATTGTAGCCCAATTATCATTTTACTTATGAAAAATTAGGGCCAGAGAAGTGAGATTTACTTAAGGTCACACAGCTAGTAGGTAATAGGACTAGAACTAGGTTTCCCTACTCCTAATCCAGCCCTTTCTCCACTTCTCCACAAGGCCTTTCCCAGGAGGGTGAGGTTTGAGGCAGGAACAGGCCCTCAGAGCATGGTGGCATATCTTTATAAAGCTTTAATACATTATTTTAGAAGTTGTTG